TCAGCCAGCTAGCGTTATCTTATGGTATCATAAAGTCAATAATTATTCATTCAAAATGCCTTTCACACTCACGAGTACCATGGAACACGAACATGTAACAGAAAAATATCGTCTTTTGTTTAAAGAAGATTCTGTCAACCAAGAATACATGCACAAGGCAAGAATTATGAAACAAAACAGAAAATAATTATGTCATTGTCAGTGCCTGACCTGTTTTGATTAGTTCGCCCGTTTCTCGTTTGCTGGCCATTTTTTCTGGAGTGTGACACAAATGGTGAACATGATACTGCCAAATCAATCAAGAACCAGGATACGGCTTGGATACGCTGAAACTTTGTAAATCGTCCTCTTTTCAATTATAGACTTTATTCCAGTGTGCATCACTTTGGAAATTGACGCTAAATACATATACTAAATACTAAACAAGCGCACATATCGTATTCATTTACAGCATCGGATTTTAAAACAATGACTCGGGGAATAACAAAGAAACTGTTAAGTACGTATTTCACACATTACCGAGGATCGCGGTTGTGACCGGTACAGCGGTAGAGGCCCCTAATTATAAGCAGTCCGCAGCTCTCCCCGGCGTTCTGCGGTAATGACCGCGGTGCACCGCCCGTTTGATTTCCTACTCTTCCCTTAATTCCTTTTCATACAATCAGAAAATGCCAATCAACATTGGTGTTTGTGAGATGTGTAAAAGATAATGATAGTATTTCAGTATTTAATATCCAATAATACACATATAATAGTTACAGCTCTTTCAGTTGAACACTTTCCTAACATAAAGACAATATTCATTGGATAATAGATGGAGTAATTATACATCTAGAAAGAGCTGTTTCTTGTTTAAAAACAATGTTTGTGATTGCTAAATATGCAGAGTTTAACGATGGTAATGTCATATTTCTTGCCCAAAATGTAATTCATGAGTTCGTCATTTTATGGTTGCCACACAATTTTGAATCATCACAAAATTATTGATCTCATTTCAACAACAATGTTAACATTTGTATTTCATGAATAATTTAAATTGTTGGTGCTGTGGTGTTCACAGATGTTGATAAAATTATCACAATTTTGTTTTGCAGCGAAGGGTACACTTTATTTTATGGAACGAATCCACTTAATAGACAGAAAATAGACAGTAAAAAACTTGGTGAGTAAAGGACTTGTAAACTTAATTTCCGAAAAAGTGTGTTTTAATTTATCTCTTGTCTGTAATAACTCTTGTGTGGTTTATTTTTCTAGCTGGAATGCCTAAGATAAGTTTCACTGTA